AGATCTGGCAAGGCTTAAGAACTCTCTAAGCCCACCCCCAATGACGTGCTTCCTCCAGGATAGCCACAACTTCTAAAACCTCTCAAAATGGCGCCATCATCTGGGGACAAAATGTCCAAATACTTGGAGCCTATGGGGGACATTTTCATTCAAACCACCACACTCCTGCTGAGCTGTTGGTCAGAGAGAGATCCTATAGGTCCTCATATTCACCAAGGCTATTGCCACTAATGTCAGTTGTACACGAGAAAGGTCAGTAAGGCCATGTTGCTGAAGACTCTGCATGTTATGAGCATGGGAGGAGAAGAGATGGAGCTGAGACTAAGCCAAAAAACTCCATGCCACTGGATGGATGACGTTCACATTGCCAGAAGGTGCTATGCAGATGGTTGGGAAAGAAAGGATCCCCTATGATTCCACTCAACAATGGACCCCCACATGCTGCACACTATGGACATGCCAAGCAATGCCTGCAAGTGCAATAATGGCTCAACCAACATACGTACAACTGATAAATTTCTAATTGGATAAGGCCCGCTCCTAGAGGTGGAACACACATCTGGTGCTGTAGACCAGGCCAACGCATTGTGTCGAAAAAGGCTACAGGCCCTAATGGGGAAGCCATCACAAGTATGCTGTTTATTGAATATAGTACACCTACTGGGATATCTTCTAGGCATTTGTATTTACATTCATGTTTGTTTATATGTGCCTACTCCCTTCCATTTGCCTTTATAGTAGAAAAAACACCACTGAGATAGAGCAATGGCCACAGCTTAAAGACAAATAATGGGGAGGCCCAAGAAGTCACTATCTTGCCATGATACAAGAGAGATCTCCCTACATCTGTCACCCCCTCCAAGGCTCAGGGACCTTAGCAGAAGATTGACAGAAAGATTTTAAGAGCAGAGGAAAGGGGTGGAGAGTGTTCCCCAGGGGTCCTGGTTCCTCCAAGGGGCGGGGCCTGCTGGGGAGAATTGACTGTGGAGAGTTAGTTGCAGAAGGAGGGGCTTGTGGTGCCATCTTGGGACAGAAGCCGTGAGCCACCAGGAACACACGGCGGTGGGCATAGAGAAAAAGATGGCCCCGGTGTCTCACCCGTGTAACGAGAGGCAGCATTTATGGACCTGCCCAAGATGCGTGGGCAAAAGTCAACAGAGAGCGTGGGCAGGTGTGGAAGTGATCTGGAATGGTGGCAGCCTGCCGTGCAGAGCTGGTGCTGGGTGCTGGGTGCTGGGCATTAGTCTAAGTTTAGCCATCCCCAAGATAAAAAGTATAATAAATGCACATAGAAATATGTTATGTGGTTTGTCTGATAGCACAGGAGACCCCGAGAGAACTTGGGTGACAGGTATGAACAGAGACAACTTTCTTTCTAATTTGCATGCTTATTATTTCCTGATTTTGTCTTGTGCCATTTGCTAGGGATTCTATTGTGGTACCAAGAGAAGTTGTTGGTCTGTTTGCCTTCTGCTAGTAAGCAAGAGCCAGTTCCTTACCATTTAGTATGTTAGGTGCAGGTTTTTAATTTTTATTTATTTTTACTATTTTTTAAAAAATTTTAAGTGTATGTGCACACTGCCAAAGGAGTTCCAAAGAGTACATCAGATCCCCTGGAACTAGAGTTACAGGCTGTTGTAAACTATGGACTTGGGTGCTGAGAACCCAACTTGGGACCTCCAGAAGAGACCTTGAGTCATGTCCTCAGCCCCCTGGGATTTAATTTTGTAAGATATTTATCAAATAGATGATGTTCTACTGTTTGCTGGCAAAAATTACAAACACAAAGGGAGGTCAGATGGTGTGAAATGTTTTTTTCTTCACCTGAGACACATACAGCTTTTATTCCTTAGTCTGTTGACAGGTTACATTAATGATTGATTGGTTGATTGATTGATTGGTTGATTGGATTGATTTAGAGACAGTGTCTCCCTGTAGCCACAGCCAGCCTGGAGCTTGCTATGTAGACCAGGCTGGTCTCAACTTCACAGAGATCCACCTCCCTCTGCCTCCCGAATGCTGGGATTAAAGGCATGTGCCCCGATGCCCGCATTAGTCTCTACTTCCCAACTATTGCTCCCAGCTAGCTATGTATCAGCTTCTGCTTGCTTTTCTGAAAGTGATGGTATCTGACCCTCTTTGTTCACCCCCAGAACTTCTAACAGCAGGCAGATTGGCATTACTGAAGCCTTAGGAGCAGCAGAGGAAATGACACATGATTTGAAAGTCACTGCTGTCTGAAACTCTGGGAGAACACTTTAGATGCATGGACTGTCACATTTCCAGCTGGCTCTTCTCCGCCTTCCTCTGCAGATGCTTCTTCGGGGCTTCAGTTTTCATCTTGAGACTCCGATGGACTTTTCTTTTCTGCGACAGGATCTCATGTAACCCAGGCTGGCCTTAAACTTGCTGTGTAGCCAAGCAAGGATGGCTTGAACTTCTGATCCTTCTGCTTCTACCTCCTCAGTGCTGTGATTACAGACATGCACCACTACACTCCCTGTTTTATGTACTGCTGGGGATTGAATCCAGGGGCTTTCTGCATACTCTGCAAGCAGCCTCTGCCTCCCGAATGCTGGGATTAAAGGCATGTGCCCCGATGCCCGCATTAGTGATTTTTAAATGCTGAACTGGCTTTGTGTCTTTGGGATATTACATCATTCCTTTTTTCAGTTTTCCCAATCTCTTCCTGATTGAGAAGTCTAATCCACTTAAAGTGACTGCTAACAAGGAAAGACTTCCCTGCAGTTTTCAGCATATTTTGTAACTTTCTGTCCCTTGTTTCCTCCATTCCTGCCGTTTCCCCATGTTGTTTTTTGTAGTCACATATTTTGATTCTTTAATTTCCTTTCCTATTTTCTATATTATCTAACAATCCTCATGGGGCAGCAGGCTTGCTGGGTTGAGGGTCGAGGTCCTGTAAAACTTTATACAGGGTTGATCTAGGAAGAGCACGTGGTAATGAGTCATTAGGGCATTTGACATCCATTTCTCTCGAGTTATCCTCAGGAGGACTTTCACTGAGTGAGGAGTGGTTAAGGGAAATCTTACCAAGGCAATTTATCAGTTTCCTTTACAGGTTGGCCATCCAGCTAATACCGAAGTGGTGAGGGTCCCTAACTAAACCAAAGGAATGCCATTTTAAAGTGACCTCCCATTTCTAAATAAGTTAATAGTTTAATGTAGGGTGAATTTTGTACTTTTTGTTTCCTTGCAACCTTTGAAACCTTTGACACCAAAAACAATGCACAATACCGGGGAGCCGAATAACCACAAATCCCATAGAATGTCTTGATCAAGAACACAGGCAACTGCTAAATTGCAAACACCTGCTTCCGTAAATGTGCTTGCTTGTTTAAGCGCGGATAAGGGATCATGATTGAGTATTTTTGGAAATTAAACTCTGACCATTGTACTTGTCTATAAAAACTAACTGCAGTGGTGAATTGAGGCTGTTCTCTGAGCACTCACCCGGAGCCTAGGGACAGCCGGGCTGTGAATAAAGCTTCCTTCCTTGCTTTTCACTGGCGAGTGGTGACTGCTGATTTGTAGCTTACTACAATACATGAGCTAGGCTTTTAGATAGGTAAGCCATAGGCTGTTTCCATGGCCCCAAGGTTTGGCTTGGTTACATTTGGGAGAGAACAGGCTCCTTGTTCAGTCTCGGTCCATTCGAGGGGTTGGTTCCCTTAAAGGCTGCCATACAGAGGTTTGGCTACTTCAGCAAATCCAAAAGTCCATAGGCAACAATAGCTGACTGCCCCCAGGAATTTCCTTACTTGTCAGACCTGGGGCGTTAGTCTCAGTCCATACACAAGGGAATAGTTGTTGCAGGTCCTGTAAATAGTTGGAGGCTGGGTATCTTTGTTAACAGTTCTGGTTGCAGGAGATATTCTTTAGACAAGGGGCAAGTCACCAGAACCCTAGCTGGGGTCAAATCTGAGCATACAGCAAGACCTGCCTTCGTTCCCCAAAAGAGGTGGTGGCCCTTACTTTTTTAGCGTCTCTTTTTAGTCTGCTGTTGTTGTTGCTGCTGCCTCCGGTTTCCTTCTTTAGGCTTCCGGTCATCCACCTTTCTGAAAGTTGTTATCATCGTCCTGGTTAACTTGGTGATTTCTAACAACTGTGACCTATCTAGGTTTTGTAACTTTTTTTTAATGTCTGGGACGGACTGGGTAATGAAAGGGCAAACATTTATGGTCTGCTGGCTTTCTGGAGCATCCAGATAAGCCTCTCTAAGGCACTCCAGGAACCCAGCAGGTGATTCTTGAGGTTCCCGAATGACTAACCTCACCTATCTTAGAAAGGTTTGTGGGCTTCCTAGTAACTGCCTTTATTCCCCCTAAAAGGACTCGGTGAAAGTTGTCCAAATCCCCCTTACCTCAGTCAGAACTGGGGTCTTAGTCAGGTCTCTCACATGAGAAAAACCTTCCTGAGCCAGGCCTGAGGCCCGAGGCAGGGGTGCAGCCCAGCTAGTTTGGCCTGGGAGGCCCGCCCGCTCTTCCACTGCTGTGTAGAGGGTGACTAGGAGTTGCTGGCAGTCATGAAGTTTTTCAGGGAAAAGGGAGAATTTGGTGGTTTTTAGTTATACAGATCACTAGCAGAAGGGAACATACTCGATCTTTCGTTGCCCAGGTCCCATTGAGCCCCATCCTATCCATGGTGCCTCCCAGGGAAAGAAGGAGGCTACCTCCGGGACAGCCCATTTCATCTGCCATGGGTGCCCCCACCTCCCTCCCCAATCAGACCTCGGCCAGCAGAGGAAGCAGCCCAACTACAGGCGGCAACCCAGAAGGTGGATCAAACCATCTCTAACATACTTAAACATACATTTCAGAGAAGTCAACACTCCCCCTCCCCCTCGTAGATGACAGACAGAAACAGACAACAAATGAGACCAGCACAAATACAGACAATCATGCACTCACCTGATGGCCATCACACAAACCATTCATTCACCAGTTACAGATGGCAGCCAGCAACCTCTTACTCAGCTCCCAGGACACTGAGGTCCCAGCCTCCACTCTTAAGTGCCCTTCCAAGGGAGCCCCAGACTCTGACTCACCTCCGGAGGCTTCCAGAACAGACAAATTTTTTCAAAAATCTTTTAGGGTGGAGATATAAAAGAAAAAACCAACAGAACAGGAGGGCAGCAGGGGGCAGAAGTCCTGAGGCCTTGGACTGTTTCAAGGGATACCCCCTCTAGGAGTCTGCCAGGCCCACACTACTTCCCTGCTCTGGGCCCCCTGGGTCTGAGGTCTAATTCTTTGTGATCTCAGTAGGACCACCAAATGTTATGGGATGCTTCACCAGAGAAGACCACTCAAAGTTTTGCTGAATGAAAGTTGCTACTGGCCAGGGCTACTACACAGGGTGTCAGAAACCCAGGTGTGTAGCACCAAGTTATCTCTAGGGTAAGCTTTTATACAGAGAAACCATAACCAGGGGTGCAAAGTTGAATATCCCAATCTTACAGGTGGAGAATCCCCTTAACAATTTCTATTCTATTGAGTAACAATTACTATTTTGCAGAAGCAAGCCAAGCATAACCTACAGAAGCCATAAATCTGCAGTTAGCAGGTGCACTGCAGAACACTGTGACCTGTTCCCAAGACAACTGGGGTCCAGCTGACGTGTTCCCATAGCCTGGGCCAACTGCCTGATAATTTCAGAGACTTAGAGTCACCCTAAACTTTAACATGGTGTAGCTATGGTCAAGAAGGTGCCCTATTACACTCCAAATCTTTATACATAACAAAGACGTGTGTCTTAGTTTGTTTCTTCACTGCTGTGACAAAACACTCTGACCGGTACCAACCTGGGGAGGAAAGGGTTTATTTGTCTTACATCTCCCAGGTCACACGCAGTTCATCAGGGAGCCCAAGGCAGGAACTCAGGGCAGGAACCTGGAGGCAGGAGCTGGAACACAGGCCATGGAGGAACGCTGCTTACAGGCT